ATAGCTCACCTTCGGAATACTTTTCAATGCTTATTGACAAAGCATGCACATTTTCGAGACAGTTCCCTTTTCATTACAGCGTTACTATCGCTCTGCAACAGCCCCGCTTGCTAAGGTCACGCAGTTCCTGAAGGCCCATCCCGGCCGGCAAAGTAACCTGGGAAAATGATCCCGTGAGGCAAATTTCCCGAATCGTCGATCTGAATGAATATATGCGGGATTTTGGGGGTCCAGAAAAGCTTCTTCATTGGGTCCTCCATACTTTAAGAAATCGCTCATATTGTGTGAGAATATGTCCCTTCAAAGAAGGACTATTCCGCTGGGACCTCCAGACATTGCGAATCAGCAAATCGTTCTGCTGTTCGATTATCTCTATAGAAAGTGCCTGCGTTGGGCCGAGCCTAGTGATCATACCTCCTCCAGCTTTTCCAACGTGCCCTTATCGCCACCCTCTAGTGTCTATTTGACAAGTCACCTCAATGTGGCTATGTTCTCTATTGAGGCATCGTTTTCCAATCCCGCCAAAAGGCCTAAAACCCCAAACTGTCCCTAACGGTGAGCCATACACTTTCTCGCCCTCTTTTCCTTACACTCAGCACCTTTTAACCATAGAATCTGGCCTATATTTGTCCAGAGACATACTAAAACTTGAGACGAGGAAGCTCAAAAATTTCTCAGTCCCAAAAATGGCCAAAGACAGTCGTCTCACTCGCGGCGCATATGTCAACTGCGTGGCACCACGGGTTCTACGCCCTAACGAAGCCCGCAACATGTTTGGGACAGGCTACAAGTCCGTCAAGTTGGAAGGGCGTGTGCTGGAAGTGCTGCCAAAAATTGTGAATGGCAGAAAATACAACCATCTTCGATGTGTTTTTCTTATTGGAACTGGAAAAAAGTATGCCACATTGCCTCTTGGATCCGTCAAGACAGGCCGCGTAGCGTCAATTGGGCGCGAACCAGACAGAGATCCACTTGACATCTTAGAAAATGACTTTAGTGGCCAATCAGCACAACGTCCCTCTTCACCCTCAACTGGAGCCCCCCCGATGAGCCATGATCATCACGCAGATGACGTGCATAACACACAACATAGCCCCACAGCCAGATCAACCCCGGCACTATCACCACCTTCAATTGGTCAGATTGAAATGTCCACCATTGGAGACAGCTCAGAATCCGAAACTTACGTGGCACATAATCAAAAATGGAAACTTGGAGCTTCAGGCGAGTCTCTGAATGGGGATGTTCGAAAGATTTCATGGAGTGTACTGTGCGCAGACGGAACTGTCATCAAGCAAGGGATCGCTCCTGAACACATGAAACTGTATGACTACTTTCTCGCCATGTTCCCAATTAGTCATCTTCCGCTTATTGTTACACTTACAAACCACAACCTTCGTGCTGAGAATTGCTTGGATACCTCTGCAGGCGAAATACTTACGTTTATCGGACCACTTCTACTGATGACACGGGTGAAGTTTTCTGAACGACGTGAGCTCTCGAGCCGGCAGTCCCATTCAGATTTTATGAGCGTGCTAAAATTTTCAAGAGTGATGTCGCGGGTGAGGTTCGAGTCGCTACTACGCTGTATAAGATTTAGTCAGCAGTCTCAAGCACACGCGGAGACATATACAGAAGAGCGTCAATGGCAGTTATGTGAAGGTTTCGTTGATACTATTAACCAGCATCGTCTCCAGCATGTTACTCCGCCTGAGCTTCTGTGTGTAGACGAGTCTATTTCACGCTGGTATGGGTTGGGAGGCTCATGGATTGACGTTGGATCGCCAAATTATGTGGCCCTTGACCGCAAACCCGAGAACGGATTGGAAATTCAAAATATCGCTTGTGGCCGTTTAGGAATCATGCTGGGTCTAAAACTTGTGAAATCTGCAGTCGAAACGGCACGTATCAGTAGCCAATCACATGAAGCACTTAACCATGGTACAAAAATATTGGTTGATTTATATACGCCGTGGAATGACAAAGAGCGAATAGTATGTGCAGATAGCTATTATGCATCTGTGGAGGCGGCGGAAACATTGCTGGAAAAAATCTGCGATTTACTGGTGTCATCAAATCATGTACAAAAAGATTTCCCATGGGATATTTCAATAATCAGCAGTTTTTCGAGAAGGGAAGCTATAAAAAGCTAATCAGTAACCTCCGGCTGAGTAGCGGTGAGCAAAAGGACATTGCAGCCGTTTGTTGGCTGGAACGGACAAGACGACACTTTGTATCGACCGTCGGTAGTACTTCGCGTACTGTGCTGCAGGAAAGGGTAAGATGGCGTCAGTTTACAGATGGTGCCTGTCGGATGGTAGTTCAAGTTGAGATGCTGCAGTTGGCATTTCAATATTACGGTGCTTGTGATTCGATTGACAGACACAACCGCATCAGACAGGATAGTATTGATCTCGAAAAATCCGTGGAAACAAAGGACTGGAGTTTTAGGATGAACTGCTCACTTATTGGTGTGATAATAAGTGACGCTTTCGTACTGTACGAAGGAGGTCGCGGAGGACGTCCTGTCATGAATAAGCATCAATTCTGGTGTGCATTGGCTACAGAACTAATTCGGAACAGGTTTGATGACACTGGGCTGCGGTGCAGAGATGGGTGGAAACCAATGGTTCCTAAAATGGTCCCTCGCAGCGGTACGGCTGCTCATCTTACTCCCACGAAAAAGCGCCGCAGGGATAGAGATGGTAATTTCAGGTCAGGTCGCCTTCAAAAGAAGTGCAAATTGTGTGCAAAGAAGAGTAAGTGGGTGTGTTCCTCCTGCTTAGATGATGCGGATAGGGAGTCTTTTATATGTCACTCACAAACAGAGCGAGACTGCTTCGAAAAGCATCTAAACAAATGCCATTAGCTACATATGGGTTCAGTAACCTTTGGGAGAGCTGGTGGTATGTTACAGTTATATAGAAAGTTGTCAATAGTCGAATTGGTGCTTACTACATGTGCATATTTTCATTCTCTGCTCGACAAACAGACTATGCGCGCAAAGTATCAGCTCATTGACCTTGCAGAGGCGTTTCTGTCCATTGGTAATATTTCGTTCCTCCCCTGTCTTCCAGGGTAAAGAAAGATGAACAGTCAGGGAGCGGTGTCCAGCTAGGGGCGAGAGCAGTACGCGATGAGATTTCAATGGGCTCATTTGAGATTTTTTCGGACCTCAAATGAGACTATTTCAATGTCAAATAGACACTAGGCGGGACCGCTCCATGACTCCTGATGATGTGCGACGCGCATTGGGTGGGACGGCGGCATGTGTTCAGCATCTCACCCCGGCGCCACGTATGCCGCAACTCCTCGCGCCCGGTTGGGGCGCCCTTCCGCATACACGTCTTGCGACATGCCTTGCGACATGCTATAGATCATACACGTCTTGCGACATGCTAAAGCATGTCGCAAGACGTGTACATATACAGTAGACATGTACACGTCTTACCACATGCTTTAGCATGTCGCAAGACGTGTGTGCGGAAGGGTCAAAGCATATGCTTTGACGGGAGCACGGTGCAATGCGGGCGACGCTGCCAGCGATGGATGGGGCCGCGAGCCATGTCCTGCCGACCGGCCAAGCGCTTGCCGAGATCCGCACGCGCTGCTTGACGGCAGCGGCGTGTCGCTGAGCGGAATCCATCTCCCCGCGCGGCATCTTCGTATCTCGCTGCCCAGTGCAGCCTACCGTTACACCCTGGCGCGCACCGCGCGCGCGCAACCCCGCGTTATGGACGCGCTCTTATGGAGAAAGGAGAGGAGAGGAAGCCCGGATTCCAATCGAGGGGCACAAACCGCGCGCCGCCAGCGGGGCAGGCCCCGCCCGTGCAGTCGAGCCCCTCAAGCGCTCCCCCGCGCTCTCCGCGCGGGCGCGCCCGCGTAGAAACGCGCCCGCGCGCGACGCCCGAGCCCGCGCGCAGCAGCGCTCTCGTGCCCGCCCCCCCTCTGTTGTTGTAAATAAAGAAGTAAGGTATGTGATAAGGTACACATTAAGTTAAACAAACGGCGTACACCCCCCCGCCAGCGATGACGCGCATGTTCCGTGATGGCCGCGGGGCCCGCGGTGCGCACGCGCTCCACCGCCCGCGAAGGCGCTCCACCGCCCGCGAAGCTCCTCCGCTGCACCGCGCGCCGGTCGTCCCGTCCCGCCCCGCGCGCCGCAGCGAAGGTGCATGCCCCCGCCCCCCACCCCCCGTCTCCCGCTTCGTTGACGCGTCCACCACCGTGACCGCCGCTCACGGTTTCTCCCGCGGCACGCTTCCTCCCGCACACAAATTCGTCATGGGCGTCTCCCGCCGCTCCGTCACGTCGCAACTTCACCACACCCCCACCCGCCCCTCCCCCCCGTAGCCCGCCCACGTCCACGCGTCCACTCTCCCAGCGCCCGTGCACCACACGGTATAAAACAAAGTAAAAGAACGTTAACCACCGCCCCGCTCGCATCGCACCCGCGCCTCCTGCCTAAAAGTTACCGACACCCCGCCACGCCAATTCCCAAAACATGGCATCCCCTCACCGCGCGGCGCGCGCGCCTCCGCAGCTGCTACTTCTGCTGCCGGCCCTCCTCGCGCTAGCGCTAGCGCTGGAGCCGGACGCGGCGCTGTACGACGCGGGCCCGGTGCGCTTCGACGCCACGGGCGAGCTGTGGTACGGCGCCGACCTGCGCGCGGGGACGGCCAGCCTGGCCCTGCGCGTCACCGACCGCGCCGTCGTCAACGCCTCCGCGTCCGCCATGTGGGCCGGCGTCGGCGTGTCCGAGGCCACGTCCGGCAGCATGCTGGGCGGCGACATCGTCACCGCCGAGTTCACCGCCGACGCCGCCTGCGACGTCACGGACCGCTACGTCCCGTTCGTCCCCTACCCGCTCACCGAGTCCCCCGGCGCCTTCCCGCTCCCGGACGCGTGCCAGGACGACGGCAGCTGGACCGTGCGCCGATGCGCACGCGACCTCGAAAACGGCCAGCTGCTCATTGAGGTCGTCCGCCCGATCGACGCACATGACACCCAGGATATGCCGCTGGTCGCGGGCAGGAACAGCCTCATTTACGCCTACGGGAATGAGTTTGCTTACCATGGCGGTAACCGCGGCGCCATGGGCGTCTCCCTGTTCACGGACCGCGACGACCCGGACTCCAAGCCACCCGCAGGCGACCCCCCGCTGCCGGATGATGTCGACGGTAGTTTCGAGATCCGCGCCACGGATTACGAAGTCCTGTCCAACATGACCACCACGTACGCGTGCACCACGCGCAGGTTTGACCTCGGCCCCGCCGGCAAGCGCATGATTGTCGCGGCGGAGCCCATTATCGACGCCCCTATCGATATGGTCCACCACTTCGTGGTCTTCCAGTGCACCAACGCAGGATATGCTCGGCTCACCAAGAACACCACCACGTGCATGTCGCTCAACGGCATCAACGGGCCGCTGGCAAACCCGGCCGCCGGCTGCTCCACCTTTGTGTATGGATGTACGTTGTTTCTTTCATCTGTGTTTCTTTCATCTTTGTTTCTTTCATCTGGTTTCTTTGTCCTTGGCGGCATTCCCATCGTTTTCGTGCTGACTCGTTTTTGATTCACCCATCTCTTTTGCTTTGGCACTCTCCATGCCCACGTGACCGCAGACGCGAAGGGCGCCGGCAGGGTCGTCATCCCGAGAGAGGCAGGCATCCTGATTGATGCGAAAAGGCCCTTCCTCGTCATGGAGACCCACTTTGACAACAGCAAGCTCGTGAAGGGCAACATCGACAAATCCGGCGTGCGCCTGTTCTACACCGACACAATGCGCAACCAACAATCGGGCGCTCTCCTCCTCGGGGACGGCCTGCTGTCGCGCTACGGCGATAAGGTGAAGACCGACTTCGAGTACGAGCACTCGTGCCCGTCCGAGTGCACCTCCAAATTCAGCACCAACATCAACATCTTCGGCAGCTTTCTCCACATGCACACCACCGGCAGGGACATCTACACCAACGTCTTCTCCGCCAACGGCACCTACGTCGACACGATGAACAAGATCAACTTTTGGAGCGACAAGTTCCAGCAGATCCGGCAGTTCGACCCTCCGTACGTGCTCAAGCCGGGGCAGCAGATGGTCACGACGTGCACGTACGACACGTCCAAGCGCCCCAGCACGCGCTTCGGTTTCGAGACGACCGACGAGATGTGCGTGGACTTTCTGTTCTACTGGCCCCTGCAGTTCGACCCGGACACTGGCGACGAGATCAACCTCTGCGCCTTCGGTCGCAGCTTCGAGGACAAGTCGGAAACGTTCACTGTGTGCGGCGACAACCGCAACATCGGCGACGAAGACATCTTCTTGCCCGTGCCAAACCCCAAGTTTGAGGACGAGGTCGGCGCGCCCACCGACTTTGGCGACGCGCCTACCTGCCCCGTGCCCGACGTGCTTGCGGCAAGCCCCGCGCCCGACTTGCTCGAGGCAAGCCCCGTGCCCGACGTGCTCGAGGCAAGCCCCGTGCCCGACGTGCTCGAGGCAAGCCCCGCGCCCGCGCCCGCGAGCGGGTCGCCGCCGTCCGCGTCGCCTGTGGCAGCCGGCGGCGCGCCTGAGACGTCCGTGGCAGCCGGCAGCGCGCCCGAGACGTCCGTGGCAGCCGGCGGC